GTTTTTGTATTTTAAAAACACTTCATGTGTGCATCAACACTTTTGTAACACTTCCTTCTATAGGTGTGGTATATCAGGTCCAATCTACCTAGAAAGATCTGAGGCTGATGCTGATGGGAAAAGGATCCCTGAAGCACTCTGACTGCTTTGCTGCTACACACCTTGTACACACTATACTGTCACAAGTGCTTCTTGTGCTTGCAATCCTGGTGACACTGTGGACACTATACACTATGCCTAATGTTCTACTTGGAATTCAAAAAACAAACACAAGGATTTCTCCTATGGCACAGAATTATAACCTAAATTTAACAATCAAATCTAACACATATTGAACATATACTTTGTGGTAGACCTTTGCCTTTGATAATATATGTGACCTTTTTGTTTTTCTTTTTTTGGAAGTGCTAGAGATTAAACCCAATGTTTCATGTATAGTAGACATGAGCTGTACCACTGAGCTACACTTCCAGCCTCATGTAAATTATTTAATATAGTCTTTTAATTAATTGCCTATAGGATGAAATATAAGTATTGATATGGAACACACTTTCATTCAGCTGAATTATAACATGGTATCAATATCATATAACCAGGAACTAGCACCATAATTTGCTCTATTAGTAGATAATAACAAGGGATAATAGATGTGATATGAAGTGGTTATAGTGATTATTTTCGTAGAATTGGAAAAACAAGGCATTTCTTTTGAGTAACAGCTAGATGTAAAAAGTGGTGAATTTATTCAGTGGTTTACATTTCATGGTTAAAATTTTACAGCTACTATGGGAATAAAATTCAGCAGGAAAATAAATGGCACAAATTTACTAACTTCATGTCCTCTAATCCTCACTTACATAATTATAGATAGTACTTATACAGTGCTACAGATGTGACTGTTAAACTTTGGCTTTTTAAAAAGATCTTCATTTAAAGTTTGTCTTCCTTTTGTTCTTCTGTGGTGAACTCTAAGTTCCAAGCTGGTAAGAAATTGCCTGTCTTCTTCATAGATGACCAGCAGCACATCTCATAAGCGCTTCTACGAATGAATGACATGTACATAAAGTAGAGGAAAAAATCCTTTAATTCTAAAATGTTTAAGTGGGTCTCCCGTCATTACTATAAACTAAGGGACTGAAGTGTGAGTTACTATTTCAGCAGCCCTAAAATAATTCCATTAGCTCTCCTGGTAGGTTGCACTGATGCTACTGGTGCTAGTCATGTGCAGCATCAAATGTTCTTGGCCTTCTTTTCCTTTAAAGGGATTTTGTGTGACCCACTATCAGGTACATAATATTGCTCTTGAAACTACAGTTTAAAAAGCTTCCATCTCTTGTAGCCCAGATATACCCAAATGAATCCTACTTCCATCAGATAAAATTAAACCTTCTTCAAAGTCCTCAGGGCTTGTTGCCTAAGAGGGATGGCTGAGTGCAGGCTCAAGATGCTAAGAGATCTTCAAGGTGAAGTTCGCAAGTGCAAATCTGCTTGTGCAGACAGGAGACCATGAAAATAACTGGGCCAGGCAAGACAGCTTTGTCATGCAATGGAAAAAATACAGCATACTGCTTTACATGATTATCTGAGATGGTCAAATTTCTAACGAGAAACAGGTCCACCAAGTAATCTCTCTGCCTTCAAAGGTGGTAGGAATCTCTTATAGTTCATATGTCATCACTTTCTATCTATAAAGCTAACAAGCTCATTGCAAATCAAAATATGTTCTAAGAAGTTCAGCAGTCAGCAGCTAAAGAAAAGGACATATAGGTATAAAATAGCTGACCTCTAAAATATTAGTTTTTTGTTTTTGTTCTGTTTTGTTTTTGTGTGTGCTAAAGATGGAGCCCACGGCCTTGAACATGGTAGGCAAGCCACTCTATCAGTGACCTATATCCTTATCCCCAAACACTCACTCTTGAAATTCCTTCAGTGTGTGAAATGGGGAGTTGTTTGTATTGTACTCAGCCACATGGCAATGTTTGAGGGCATAGTCTCTGGGACTGTCCTCACAACATTAAAACCAAGTACTGGAGGGTTCACAAACCACTCGAAGGCTCAATACTATGCTAAAATGTCCCCAGGACCCATTACCCTCCTGGTATCAATGTGTGACAATACACACAGAGTATTATCTACCAAGGGCAATTACCAGTGCTTTACAGAATGCAATTTTATTGAGGCTGCATTATACAGTTCTATTGATTACCCATGAGTCAATCAGTCTCCAGCACTCCTGCCCCATGCCCCATTAATATCATACTTAGCTGAGGGACCACCATGAGCAATTCCTGTCATTAAAGAAATTCTAAGACCTTAGAGGTTACCTTGCAGGGGCCTGGTATAAAGTCCAGACTTTTCTTTGGTGAGGTCAAATCCTTACTCTGCATGTGGCCATGAGAAAATAGAACCATGTGAAGAATATCATCTTAAGAGACACAGAGAATGATGCTACTAGGTTCTGTATTTTTTCTGTGTGTGTGTGTGTGTGTGTGTGTGTGTGTGTGTGTGTGTGGTACTGGGAACTGAACTCAGGACCTTGCACTTGCCAGGCAGGTACTTATACCACTGCGCTATGTCCCCAGCCCATCTGTGGTTCTGTATGAGACAAAGTCTAAGTTACAGATTCATGCTGCTTTGTAGAAGGTTAAGTCATCAGAACATTTATTTTTGTGCTCCACATAATCTCTTATTCCCCAGTGACATGACACAGTAGTCTGGTACAGCTTTAAGGGAGACTTTGCTCATCTAATATCAGACTTCTTTATCTATAAAATCCAACTTGCACCCATTTTTCAATCTTCTAAACTCCCAGTTTTGGTTCTTTGCTCCTTCAATCCAAACAGTATGGGTTGAATTGCCCTTCCTCCTATTTAAATGCTTATGCCCAGCATCTCAAAATATAACTGGATCTGGAGAGTCTTCAGTCTTTTAAAGAGACAATTAAGTTACAATGAGGCCATTAAAGGTGGGCTCTAGTCCAATATGACTGTTATCATTATTATTTTTTTAAGATTAGGACACAAGAATGCACAGAGGGAAGACACACAGGGCAAAGATGGCCACCTACAAACCAGGGAGAGGGGTCTCACAAGAATCCAACCCTGCTAACACCTATATCTCAGACTTCCAGCCTCCAGGATTGTGAGAAAATAAATTTATTATTTAAGTCACCAAGTCTGTAGTACTATGTGGTCCTGGCAAACAAATACATGAAGAAATTGCCAATCTTTCAATGACTATTTTGTACTACTCTTTTTTCTTTTTCACCTGAGGGGGCCTTTTGTCTTGTACTTTTGGTTGTTCCTCATGCTTCTAACCAAACCTCACATTTACTATCTGATTGCTATTCTTACAGGAGCACAGAGATCAGGGTACTCACCTGGTCAAACACTGTCTAATAACCACCTGTTAAACGAAGACCAACTTCCCAGCCCACCACCTATTATCCTCTGGACTTCTATTTTATATTCCAATAATCTCCTAGAGTTATACCACTGATCTTCACTAAAGTTATCATCTAACTAGAGAGCATGATTTTTCTCCTAAATATCTTCAAGCTATTCGATATCCTTTTAAGCCTCAACCAAATGCCATCATTTTATAAAAATTCCATAGACCCTTGTAGTTTAAAGTGATCTCTGATTTATCTTAAATTATACTCATTTTCACAGCTATCATTTTATAATGAAGACATGGTGCTACATCAAAGGCTCTCATAGTACACAGACAAAAAAAACTTCTAAAGAAAATATACAACTTAAAATACATATTCATTCAGGGTATGTTTTAATATCCAATATACAATCAATTCTTTAAATTGTTAAGATCTCATTATTAACTTTTTCTTTTTTGGGTATCGGCAGGCGCTTGTGCCACTGAGCTGTATCCTGGCCTCACATTAACTTTTAAGAGGCAGATTTGTGACCATTCTTTGTTTTTTTTCCGGTACTGGGAATCAAACTCACGACCTTGCACCTGCCAGGCAGGTGCTGTGCCACTGAGCTAAATCCCCAGCCCCTTTGTGACCCATTCTTAGAGCATCTCTCTCCACTGCCTCTAAAACTGATAATGTAAGAAAGCATGCAGATCTTCATCTGTTTATATAGAATTCAAACCACCTTTTTAAAAAATCTTATTTTAATCAACATTAAACTAATACTAATATCCATTACCACACAAATTGCACTGTAGCAGAAACTAGTAACTTTACCTCAGGGTTTAACCATTTTATCAAATGCTTATAAACATGTACAAGGAAGAAGGTCAGAGCCCAGTGCAATCTTTCAAGTAAACCTGTCACAACACTTTCATTTTTTTGCTGCACTAATTTGCACATGTGCTACTAACAGGGTTTACACAATGAAATCATTTCTACACTCAGGAAAATTGTGAATGATATACTCTTACCTAATATGAGAATTGGCAGTAAAGAGAACATATAAGGCTATGGGTCACAGACACTTTGATCCATCAATCACAGAACATTCATTTAAACATTTCAAGGATTAATACAGGTAGCAATTTAACATCGCTTTCATATCAAGGACAAGTTAAAAAATCTATGATTTAAATGCTTTCAAGGCACATGTGAAGAAATAAAAATAATTTAAACGCAGATAAAGTGGATATCCAAATTTGGACAAGCCCAACGTTTCACTATACAGAAGTAAATAGTTTCCAGTAATAGAGGTAGCAATTTAACATCACCTTCTTAATCAAAGGCACTCATATATTATTCCAAATGAAAATTCTATTACTATTGCTTTCAATTTTCCCTTAGTTCAAAAACAGAGTAACAGTAAGTTTCATCAAATGCTCTTTTGTTTTATATGAATTTACAACAGTAGATAACATGGCCCTATCTCAGCCACTCCAAAACACTTCACAATATTCCATAACAATCTATCTTCTGCTCAGAAATCTATCTTTCTGCTCAGAAAGCAACAAAACTGGGCTTTTGTTTGGTTAAGAATCGTCTAATTATAACATTATTAACTTACTTGAACTTTGCTTCTACTTCTTCAGCAGCTTTCTGATATTGCTCAGTGGTGACTTTGTAAAACTCTGAGCTCTGTGGATAAAGATTGATAAAGTATTCACTAGTCAAGAAGATAAAAGGTGTGGGAAAATTGCAATTTCATATATTTTCAGTCACTCACACAGTATAAATTTTTCTTGCATAGTGACATGGATACTTAGAAAAATACATGCAAGATTATTCACTTATCTAACAGCACCATTGCTGATACATACATCATAATTACAGAGTAAACTTTCATAGTTATAATTCACCATTATTTGATCCTTTTGAGAAAATTCTACACTTTTTATTTAGATCTATGCTCTCTGCAATCTACCACTGCAATGCTGGAGAACTAGCAATGAAATTCACATGTACTGACATTTTGCCTATTCGATCAGTGTTCTAACAAGGATACTAAAGGATTATTTGTTTTACATATTTTTGTCCTCACGATCTTGTATGGAATAGAACTTGTTCTATCACCTCTGCAAGATCAAAAGAGAATCAAAATTTATAATAATCAGTAAGAACAAAGTGGCAAACTTTGGTAATTTTAGTACAAAAATGTTTATACTATTACATGAACACCTAAGTAACATAAACCAAGTTGCAGTGGCAAAGTAATACCTTTCTTAGGGCAGCAAAATTAAAAGTTATTTATTCTGACTAGTACTTTGAAGCTAGTCTCACTATATGGATAACTGTATGAACCCATGAGCCCTCAGACTCAATGAAAGATCCTGCAAAATACATGGCAGTACAAAAGAGCGCTGCATAATACAGTGGTCTATTAGGTACCTTTATTCCCTAATCACTCAGGTTTCACATGCATGACTTGGGGTAGTTTATTTTTTAATAAATCACTATTGGTTGATGAGAAAATGAAAATGAAATTCTCTTCAAATCAGTGGCCCCTTTGCATTTAACAATATAAGCTGTCCAATGACAGTCACATTCAGGTTTCTAGGATGCAGATAAAATCAATAGGTATGTGATTAGACAGCAGAGTCAGGGTGGCTGGAGCCACGGACAGGTCACCATTTGAGATGATGAATGGCTTTCTATCAACCTGTAGTCCCCTACGATGCTAACATTTACTATAATCTTATTTGGGCTACGATTTATCTTTCTTGCACCTGATCAATAAAGATGAACAGAACAGTTGTAAGGATCGATTGTAATTTTTTATCATTTCCAAGCACAAAGGTACATTTCTGACATAAAGACAATACTCTTAAGGGTACTGCTTCTGCATTTTTAAAAATTGCAATTTGAGTGATCAACTGCCCTAGTCTATATCCTGAGAGGTTTTAATTTATCTGTAAGTCTAAAGCTATCAAAAAGCCATTTGTCTTCTCAGATATTTTTACTTTCAGTTACATCACACCTCCCTATCTGTTTCACTTACAAGATTTTCTTCCCTTCAAAACACACACCAGCCGTGATACGTGTTTCCATAATGTTTGGCTAAGCTTTTCTTTGAACCCTTCTCACAAAGAGGGCAGCAAAAGAGGCAATTACTAATCTAACACGAACAATGATGAGAAGCTCCCAAATTACTATGATTTACTCTCAAGCGGACATTTTGTTACTGAATTATTTATTAAAATGCTGGCAAGGCAGTAACATCTTGATTAATACTTTCACTTATTTTAAACATTGAAAGTATAACATCTGGACAGGTCTGGGCTGAAAGACCTGGTTCCTGGTTCTGTTCTGTGACCTCGAGTGTATTTCAAATTCACCCAGCTTCCTTTCCAATATTATTAACCTAGAAAATATGGATGAACATATTAGTCCTGCTCATCTCTACCCAAGCTGTGCTAGAAATCAACCTATGCATTTTTGCAGAGTAAGATTAACATCCAAATAAAATAATTTGGAAAATGACTAATTTGGGAATTACACTCTGGGTACAAATTCTAAATGATCAGAAGTAAACAGAAAGTTTTCTTAAAAACTGATACACAAAAGTAAGAGGTGTGGCATAACACAAATTAGCGAGCACCTCTCTACTTCATAATGCCAAGTGAAGGTAAAATTATTACTGATCATATCAAAATTTCCCAGGACCCATGTTGCCTGCAAATTTAGCATGTAATGTCAAATTTAAGTTCTCTGCTTTATTTAGATTCCAGACTTCCACCTCAGTGGCCAGGTTACCATGTTGCATAAATCCTTGTAACAACAACAACAACAAAAGTTCTCAGGGTGCAACACCATATAAACACCAAAAGAATAAATGTAAATACAATCTAGATATGTTAAGTAGCTACCATTTAATTCATTTAAGTATTTACTTCTTCATTCGACACAGTCAGATTCTTATTGCCCAATAATGTCCCTTTAAGACTTTCAGGACGTTTTCCCATTTGATACGAGAGAAATAAAAACAAAGCCACAAGTACCAGTTAAAAACTGTGGATGCTGTCACTGAAGTTCAGAAATAACTTCTCTGTTTTCAAAAAACATTTCTAAAAATGAGATATTATCATTCAAAATGAAAAAAACAAAAACCCTCAACATCATTTTTTACCCAGAGAATAGACACTCAGTGTTTATATAGTGGATATCTACACAACAGAGAAAAAGAATGAGTTGACATACATGGAACAACAAAAATAGTAAGTTAAAAACATACAATCAGACACAATTTAGGTCAAGCTTGGAAAAGTGCAAGGTGATAAGAATACTAAATAACAAATTCCATTGTTTGTAGCCAAGTAGCAACAGTTCTGTTGTGACAGTAAAGAGGACAAACGGGGCAAAACACCATGGAGGAAGGGAATACACAGGAAGCTTACTACATTTCAATGCATGTTCCTTAAAATGAGGTATGGGCAGCTGTACCTTGGTTTTAATACATACAAAAATTGTATTACCCACCCCTGCCCACAAAGGGCTAGCTAACAAATGATTTAGTTGGCCTAGACCATGAAAGCATGTTTGGGATGGATACATACTCAAGAGGTTGGCTAATGGAAATTTTATACATTCATGAATACTACATATGTAGTACTATTACCAAACAAATGTGCTTCATTTAGCTTTTTCATGTGAAATAATTTTAAGACTTACAGAATAAGGCAAGGTAATTAGGGTAGGTTCCCATATATCACCTAGGTTTTTTGTTTGTTTGGTTGGTTGGTTTTTGGTTGTTTTTTTTTTGTTTTTTGGTACCGGCTCACTATGCAGTTCAGGCTGGCCTTGAAATCACTATGTAGCCCAGGCTGGCCTCAAACTTACAGTGATCCTCCCGCCTCAACCTCCTGAGTGCTGTGATTACAGGTGTGCACCACCACACCCAGCTCACCTAGGTCTTCTTCATGTCAATCAAAAGCAGTAACTTAACAATGTTAACACTAGTAACTAGTAACTTAAGTGGCTGCTATTAACTAATGTACATAATTTGTCTTTTCCCACTAACGTTCTTTTTCTGTGCTAGGATCCAGTCTTGGATATGTAACACTTAATTTTCATGGCTCCTCAGTCTCTAACCTGTGACCTCTCCTCAGCCTCTTCTTCTCTGACCTTGACACTTCTGAAGAGTACCAGTCAGGTGTTTTGTAGAATGTCTGGCAATCGGGACTTGTCTAGTGCTTCCTCATGACTAGGCTGAGGTCATCCATGTTTCAGAAATCTGTGCCTGACTTTGGGAACTATATTTTGTGGATACATTTTTTTTTTACTGATGTTGACCTTGATCATTTGATTAAAGTGGTGTCTGCAAGTTTTCTCCACAGCAAAGCTAGTATTTTTCCTTTTGTAAATGATCTCTGGTGGAAAATACTTAGAGATTATGCAAATACCCTGTTTCTTCTCAGTTTTGTCCATCACTTTTATGTATGCACTGATGTCTAAAGCAATGGTTTATGTGGTGTTCTCATGGTGCATTTATTTATTTATTTATTTTTTTTTTGGTTTTTTTTTTTTTCGGTTTTTCTCCGGTACCAGGAACCGAACTCACGACCTTGCGCTTGCCAGGCAGGCGCTTTTGCCGCTGAGCTAAATCCCCAGCCCTGCATTTATTTTTAAATGACATTGTTGCACACTTAGATTTTATTGATAAAGTGACAACCTTCATTCCTTCTTTTATGCAATTATGAAGTCTATGTAGCAGCATAGGAAAAGTCTTTTAAACAAAATCTTCAAAGACTAGATAGCTGTTCTTAGGAAAATGGAAATTCTCCAGTCTAATCAGAAAATAGGAATTGAGATTAGGAGGTACACAGAGAGTAGAAAAAAGAGGGGAAGTTAAAGAGCTACAAAAGGACAGATCTAAGTCCCTGCTGGAGGGGAATGTGAGCACTGTTGTGTGGATGGGGCAGACTAGCTCCTGCAAGGAGCAGAACAGGGGGAAAGAGTAAATGGTGTCAGATGTTCTCCCTGGGGCTGCCTGAGTGCCTCATGCGGGATTTAGGAAGTAGACCCAACCTATTTTGTGAACCCTTGGGCAAAGCCCTGTGAATTACTGCTTCAGAGTTACCTCTGGGGTTTAGTAATCCATGGAGTCCTGGGCCACACCCTTCATCTCTAGGGATGGGACCAAGAAACTGCATTTTGAACAAGAATCTCAGGTATCTCTGAATACATATTAAAAGTAGAAATGACTGGGTATATAGAATAAAACAATTATATACTATCTAGCTTGCTATTCAAACTGAAAAATAGTTTTTGAAGAATGATTAGAAATACCACTTTCTGTAATTAAAAATAACCATAATCTTTATAAAGAGTTAGAAATTAGTGATTTTGCCAATAATGTCCACAAAACACTGGTGGACCCCAAACTGATCCAAGAACTCTGGCTTTACACATTGCTGAGTAATGCTCCAATGTTCCTACCTGAGAAAGTATAAGCACAAAAGTGTTCAGAAAAGTTGCTTCTGTTATCTGCATTACCTAGAGAAGGTAGTAGGTTGTACATGCAGCTATCTTGTTACTTTAATGTCATCGTACCCATATTATTTGAATAACATAATTTTAAGTAGTACACACATATCAATTATACTTTAATTATATTACCTAAACTTGGCTCAAATACATAA